GTGAAATGCAGCGCCAGAAGAGATACCATGATACCAAACTAGCATGGTCATCCTTTAGACCAGGAGAAAGAGTTTATGTATTTTTCCCTACAAGAAAGAGCGGTTGTTCTCCGAAGTTAACATCGTTTTGGAGAGGGCCTTTCTTGATAGAAGACAAGTTATCGGATGTTTTATATAAGGTTGCATGCGGAACAAAGAGCAAAAGCACTATTATCCACTGTGATCGCTTACGGAAGTGTAAACCACAGATACTTCAAAGAGAAAATGATATCAGTAAATCCGAGAATCAGAACAATGCGGAAGATGATACTCCAGAGAGTCTTGTAGAAGACAATAAAGATCAGTATGATATTGGTGAAAACTCAAGCGATTGTGCTTTAGATAGGCCAAGGCGCATTAGAAATGCACCTGCGTGGCATGATGACTTTATTGTTGAATACAAATTATAAGCTGTCAGCTCAGCACCACCACAGATTAGTGAAGAGCATAGTTTCATTATTTGTATAGTTTATAAAATACTAGTAGTGTTTATACTCAGGATTTTTTTTTAATTTTTGCAGATCATGGCAAACACCAAGACCACTAAAAGAAAAGAGGGTCACCTTTGTCCTATGTGTTTCCAGAGAATTAGTGAAGAATCAGAGTGGGAGAAACATATACTGGAGTGTGGGAGAAAGCGCAGGCAAAAACGGTTTGAATGCAGTCATTGTGACTATGCTACAAATAAGAAGAGCGACATGGACAGACATTGTAGAACGCGCCATGGTGGATTCGCTAAGGTTGACAGCGAGAGTGAGGACATTTGGGAGCAGTTGGATCCCGGAAATCTCTCAGATGTTGTTGGTGAAGTACTAGCGGCTGGGACATCCCTTCCTTCTTCCGAAATGACACAGAGGAAACCAACAAGACCGGCTCCCGTACACACTCCAAAAGTCAAGAGCTTTCTAAGCAAGCGTTCTTTAATTCCTGTTGCTCCTGCTATGTTCCGGCATCCTATGACGACTGTGAAAGAACATACAGCTCCTTCAGCAAGAGTATCAGCGGCTGTGTCGACTGATGTCCAGGATTGCAGTGTTCAGGTTTCCATCCATTCAGTTGGAGTGGACAAATGTACTCAGACTCTTCCTTCCGAACAAGTACCAGAGGCAACTCAGACTGAATTTACTAAGAAGAGGCGCCTGGATCAGATTCAGGAAACTTATCAAAAGGATGGAAAGACTGTTGTAGAGATTCATGAGGACGAACTTTGGTTTTAGTGATTAAACTTGTAGTTATGGCAAATAGCATATTAAATTTAAGCAGAGGGCTTAGAATGCTTAAATGTTTATGGGACATGCACAGAGTTAGTCAGGAAGACTATTGCATGATGTAAATAAATAATGAACATGTGCAAATATTGTTTGCCTCTAGTTTTTCTTTATTGAGGAATGCGAGACGCATTTCCTGGAGGCGTGGGTAATGAAGCAAAACTGAAATCAAGATCAATTATCCCTTCGTTTCTCGGTAGTTACATTGTGATGACTTCCTGTTTCTTTGTTCCCTTCGGTTCTCAGCAGGTCACGTGACCTGAAGTGTGTATATATACGGAGACAGTCGGGTTGTTTGAAGCAGTCTGTTGCTGACGACTGGCTTGTAAAGACGGTCTAGAACAGAAGAGCTGAACGTGGTAGGTACTGCAAGGGAATCCTTGAATAAAGTCTTACGTGCCTGAATCAGGCTTTCAGGACTTTGGTTGGTTATATATATTTATATAAAGTACCTTTATACATTTGTGTGACTGAAGGCAAGAAGCGAATGCGCTTCAGTCCTTGGAAGGCGCGTGCGCTCCCGAGGAACGAGAGGGATAGTGTACATATTTCTAATTTAAATTTGTGATTGAGAAAATTGATTAATTCTTCAATTGTTCAGATAGAACAACCGAATCCCATAAAAGAACCCGGAAACGTTACAGAAACAAGTAAGTGCTATCAGTTATGTTTATTTTTTAGATTTAATTAGTTTATGGTGTTTTAAGAGAATTTCATTACGGTTATAGATTCATACGAACTCCTAGTACTCTCGTGACTTGCATAACATCTAACAGTAGTTGTAATTAATGCAGTTCGTAAAAAACGACACACCTAGTGATCTTATCTAGGCCTACATGCTACATTATTTTGGATTTGTTTTCGACGAATGTAAAAACTTTTAGCATTGCTAATTTTTCAGATTTGTTTTCCTTTTGTTGACAGTTACGTTTGCAAATTTATGTACGATCTTGATGAAAGTGAAAGTAGAAATCTTGCATTGCAGTTTGTGTGTAGCCTATGTCAGATGGTTATCCACTCGGCTCTTTTATCAAATTTTTAATGGAAAATGTTTTGTTTTTATTATGTATTAAGCAACTGGAGTTCAGTGTCAGAGTGCCGTTTTTATTGAAAGAACCCAAAGCTGTTAAGACTGACGATTCAACCCAAAGCTGATTTGACTGAAGATTGCACGATCACAATACAGGTGAAAAAAAATACATATAATAATCACAGTATTTACAGGGTGCATATAAGTAATGATTCTTTGATAACAAAATAGTTTTTGAGAAATTTCTTTTTGCTTCTTATGTGGCAATATATGCATTGTATATACGCCAATAGAGATACTACTACTTAATTCTACACTGTTTTGCATTACCAAAAAATTATACTGTCTTTTTATTTGGCTAAAATATTGAAGATATGAATATGGATAGAACTTGCTGGCTTTTAAACTATAGAATATCTGAAAAATAATCAGTTTCAGCCTAATCTGGCATTCAAGATAATAGTGTACATGTAAATGTATTTAAAAGTTCATCAGCTAATTTATTACTTATTTATATATTAATTGACATAGAATTTTTTTTCAACACTAGAAAAACTAGAGACTTGTACTCACTCTCTTTCGAAGTTTCTTTTAAGTTTTGATTGGAATTTGATAAGAAAACATTTACTGTATTTATTTTATACTTTTTATAGGTTCCATATACAGTCTGTCTGCTATGAATAACATGGAAGAACACCACGACCCTAGGCTTGCTTCAGAATAGGTAAGTACACCCTGTATTACAAGCTTTGTTATTTTCTCCAAACAAAGTTTTTGGAAATACTGGAAACAAAATGTCTATTTCTCTGCCTGTATTTTTATTATATCCAAACATACATTTGTATCTGATTATCCATTTAATATTAGTATATTATATTATTTCAACATTCCAAATTCATTTGTATACATTTAGAGAAACTAATTGTATTTTTTTATGATTTTATTATTAAGCATATCTTCCAAGAGTGAAATTGTCTTGGACATAACATTATATGGTGTTACACAACAGTTAAAATTAGTTTTAACTCATATAATAAATGATAACTGTTTAGGAGAATGGGGTATGCATTTGTTTGCACATGCATATGACAAATATCTTCAGTGTATGAACTTAAATTACATGTAGACTTTAATTTGTACATGTATTTTAGAAAACCTGTATTAATCAACAGAACCTTAAAATTGGAGACTCCACTGAATTGCCACCCAGTACCTTAACATGTGACAATTTCAAATCCTATGATGGGGTTCCAAGGGGTTGTAAAATGAAAAAAAACAAAGAACAGGCCAAGAAAAAATTTGTAAGTGCTCAAAGTAATTACTCTTTGTGCTAACTAACACTGGTATATATTTATTAATTATACATGTAATTGACATGAAATTTGGACATCTTAATTTTTATTATTTTTTCTTTATCATTTCAGAAGCAATACAGTCACTGTCAGGGAAATAGAGCCAGAATTATGTAAAAATTTGAAAAAATAAACTCAAGATTAATGCTTGAGATTGTGTTCTTTGATTTCTTATTATTAAGTGATTAAAGGACAAGAGTACTATTTAGTTAAGTTTGCAATTCAAAGAAATACAAAATAATTAAATAATAAATGTAAGTAAGAAATAAAATTAACATATGATTAACATATGAACATAAACATATGTTAACCTATGTTCATACAAAACATATAAGCAACATATGTTAAGCATATTATCAACATATGTTCATAAACATATGTAAAACATATGGTGCTCGTTTTTTATGGCGAACATATGTTTCAGAACATATGTTCAACGTATGTTCAACATATGTTAAACATACGTTGCAATTTTTCCTGTGTAGTCGGGAAAAAATATAGAAATGTAAACTTCCTTAGAAATCAATTTTCAACGTAAAAAATCTGTGAATGATGATAAGTTTCCCATATTTATTTCAATCGACTTGAGGGTAATCCATTAAATTAGGCTCTCCAAATTGAGGTCATTGGGGGTACTTGGTCAGTTTGTGAAGAGTTAATTGCTGTTTAAACAGTACACCATGCCGTTAAACTACATGTCCTGTATCTCTTTAGTGATATTCATTAATTAAAATTACTTTTGAGTACTGTGAACTGATTACAACGTGTATCTTACCAGTCTGTCTTCTGGAGTTGTCTGCCAAATTATATATTTAAACAAACATTGCGAATTAAGTGTAAGTTCGGTTTCATTTTATGTTTATGGTGATAATGCAAAATGATCTGGTCTGAAAAATCATCAGTTTTAAATATCTAATGAATATTTCATGTTTTTTTTTTTTGTATTTTTTCTATCGAATTGAAATAAAGCCTATAAAGTATAATGATCAAACATATAAAAATATTACTAAGCTTTTTTTTTTTTTTTTAAAGTTTTCTTGCGTACATGTATATGAATAGAGTTTATTTGAAGAAATAGGTCAGAAAAATGTGTATTTGATACGATTAATCGGTTAATCGGCCGGAACGTCTTGCGTTTAACCGATTATTAATTTTGTATTCGATTGCCATCCCTCCTCATCTGAAGCATAAACATTTATTTATTTCTTTATTTTTTAATTAATTGGCCACTTCTATGATAGCTCGTCTTAGACAAAATATGAAAAAAAAAAAAACATTAAAAGGATAAAGGATAATTGTCAATTCATGTACCTCTTGCACATTCGTTATAAATTTGAATGAAGCCAATGTCACAGGTACATGTGTTATTCTCCCCACAAACTCCTCCGTGTGGTGTACCAGTGCACTGAATATCTGAATCACAGGTCTGGAACATTTTCTTCCCACCTGAAATACATTTGCTAGGAATAAATATTTACAAACTGCGCACGTCGATTGTCATATTGGTCTGAGCACACTTTTTTTTCTGAATATAATTGCTACTTACTTTCTAGGCATCGTCCGTCATACTCTACAGTGCCTTCCCTGCAAACACATACAGATCCTAATCCAATTGATTTACAGACGGTAGCATTTTCAGTTCCAGTGCACTGACTTTGATGGTAACAAGATTGCAGTATTTGTCGTCCAGCTGATGTCAAGTGTAAGTAATTTACAAGTATATAATTGCATTTTATTCAAGAAATAAGAAACACTACAGAACACACAATAAAACCTAGATTTAATGATACTTATTCACATTCAGTGTAATTTTCTTAATGAAATCCATTGAAAATCTGCAACATTCAATACCCTATAACATACGTACTACACAGTAGCACTGTATGTTTTTTTTAATACTCTAGGAACACCAAAATGTACATTGTTCTACCTCAATTTAATTAAAAACAATAACCTGTTGAATTATTGTAAAAATATAACAATTGTACATTTGAAATTAATTTCTCTTTTTTTTCGCAATATTTATTTGTGCTATGTAACTTTCAACGTCACAACACTTCTTACGTTTTTTTTAAGCACACCAATTCTGAAAGGCACTAAATTCATAATAAAGATGAAGGAAATTAACAATTAATGAGAAAAAAGAAATAATGTAAATTTGAGAATTTAATTCTTATTTTTGTATGTCGGCGGTCCTATAACAGCACCTGATCTTAATGAAAAATTATCCATTTTGTCGACAGGGCCAGGTGCTGTTATAGGACCGATGACATCCAAAAAGTAAGAATTAATTGCTTAATTTTTGGATTTTTTTTTTAATCTTTGGGATGCCAAACATAAATTTACTGATGTATGAAATACCTTTCAAGCATTGTCCATTGAACTCCAGCATGTCTGCAGTACAATAACACACTGATGTTTTCCCCAATAATTTACAAATAGTAGCATTAGCAGAGCCACTACATTGACTTGAATGACCACAGGATTCTAGTAAGTGTTTTCCTGCTAAAATAGAATTAAAGTTGTTCTTCTTCCAATTTTTTTCCTAGGTGTCTTCACAGAAACATTTAGTATGAATGTCAATTTCAGAAGATTGTAGGTAAAGATAAAATTAATTTTATGTAAAATTCTAAGTTATAGGCTATCACTTTATTGACGTAAAAGCATTTAATGTTCAGTTTGAAAACGAAACCAAAAAGGAAACATAGAAAAAATGTACTTGATAACCTTACAGCAATTGCTTTATAACTCTTGTATTTTAATAAAGATTAACAATCATATTATCTTGTATCTTGTACTTCCAGTGAGAGCGGATCCGATGATAAAGGTATATGCTCCAATTTATATGTAAACTGCTATAATAAACGTTTTTGATATAAAAATCAAGTTAAAGCGTAAATATTTTCATTAAATTTATACATACCTTCTAAACATAATGAGCCAATTCTAAGAAATCCCTCATCACAGTCACAATGTTGTGAATTTTGGGATACATTAAAAACACATCTTCCACCGTTCGCAGTGCCAGTACATTGCTGATCGACGATGCAGGTTTCCCCAAGCATTATACCGACTATAAATGTAGATTTAAGAACAACGTTAAAACTTTGTGATAAAAGAGAAAGTGATATTTGAAAAATTATATATAATTATCATATGATTCAATGTGATATGCTTTAAAATTACTTTTTTAGCGGGATCAAATTTTCTTCATTTGAGATAAAATATTAATCCGTGGGTATCTGATTTGAAGTTGAAGAAGTTAAGAGTTTCTATAGATATTAAATTAAACAATTCGTCAAGAATATGAATTATCATGAAAACAACGCAAATTATACTTCCATGAGAAAGTAATTTCACAGTTTATGTACTAAATGTATATTCATCTTGAAACCTTTTAAACAGCCGTCAGCAATAACACTATAATTAGCAGGACAGGAGCACATCTTTACTCCCGCGATCACAGCGCAGTCTGTCGCCCCTACTGTTCCCTTACACTGTTTGTTCACTTCACAAGACTGGTAGAGGCGTCGATAACCTTTGAAGAAAAACACTTAGTTGAGAAATATTAATTCAAAAGGAATAACAACCCGTCATCATTGTATTTCGTATGTCACTGTTAGTTAACCAAAATAATGAACCCCCCCCCCCCACAAAATCTAAGAAAAAAGCGGGTTTACCAATAAAAGTATATGTAGTGAATATATATATATATATATATATATATATATATATATATATATATATATATATATATATATATATATATATATATATATATATAAAGCACTAAAAGCCAACAACACTGTATATCCGTGTCGGATCTACTAAGTAGATACAAGGTCACGGATGGAAATTTATACAAAGCACTAAAAATGACCAACGACACGAACAATAATAATTGTCAAATTTTCGGGACGACCTGCCCCTTCCTCAGGTGCTTCACCAGAGTTCACCCGATAGACCGGACGCGATTCATAGCGCTCCGGATTTCTTTGTTCACGACTGTTTATTAACTTAAAATTAAACATGTAACACGGTAAATATTTAGTGTTTGGTAGTTTAGTAGTAGTGCTAGTTGTTTTTGTTTCTCTATTTCCTTTGTTTTTATGACTTCTTAACTTTTTCTTTGTCCTGAGGAAGGGGCAGGTCGTCCCGAAAATTCGACAATTATTATTGGTCGTGTCGTTGGTCATTTTTAGTACTTATATATATATATATATATATATATATATATATATATATATATATATATATATATATATATATATATATGGTTAGATTATTTAGCTCATTAATTTTTTGCAAAGACTCTTAAGTAAGCAAATAAGTCTAAATATAATAAAGATTTTGATGAACCTGGCAGACATTTGTTATTGATGACTTGATATCCTTCGTTACAGTAACAGATCTTTTTTCTCTCGACTTGTTTACACACGGTGCCTAAAGTACACTGTCTATCTTCTTCACATGAGTCGTAAAGGTTGCGTTTCTCTTTAATTTAATAGCATTTATATGAAAAGCATTCAAAGTTCAATAAATATATTTTCGTGAAATCGCTAAACCTTATTTTGATTTTTCTGGAATAGTCAAATATATCAAAGTTTACCAAATAAATTCAATTAATTAAAGATTGAATACAAATACTATAACAATTTTACATGTTCAATGTGAAGAGGTCCTCACCAACACAAAGTCCTGTGTCATCTCCATGAAAGTTATAACATACTCTGTTTTCTTCCTTACATTTATTGTCTCTGTTACATGTAATACCATTTGAATCTGGTCGAATAAAAACTATTTAAGGACAAGATATAGTAAATGAAAAGTGCCTACCGATTTCTCTTTGAGAAACTACTTTCTTTAATAATCCATTACAATTATAGATAAATTAAGGTGTATTGGGACATGATTATCAGGTAAACTCAACAAAAAGAACATATTGTTAACTGCCCTTTTCGATAAAAAAAAAATGAAGAAAATCAGGTATAGACATGGCATTTTTTCTTAGACAAAGAAAATTTATCGATATAGCCTACAGTCTCTCAGAAAACGGTTTTCATATCTTCTTGACCTCTCCTTTAAAAAGATATTTAATTGAATGTAGGTATCGGGGTTACTTTTGACATGGTTTCAAATTGAATTCCAGAAAAGTGCGTCATTTTCTATATAATTTCTTTGGCCATAAAGTACGGAAAAAAAGTAAGTTTAAATTAATTATGACGGCATAATGGATCTGACACAAGAAAGTCAGTCTAAGCTCATTTACTAGATCTTGACCTTAAATCGACAGCTAGACAGATGGATAGATAGATAGATAGACAGACAGACAGATAGATCCTTAACAAAAAGTACTTTTTCACTATAGTAAATCAAAGTATCTTTACTATGGATTTCAGATCGTTATATTTTTTGTTCTTCAATTCATACCTGCACATTCTATTATATTAAATTGAAATATTATTTGTATATTCACACAGATTTCCAAATTTTACCTTACTGTTATCGAATTTTAGAGATTTTAAGCTTTGAAAACTCCAAAAAGAAGTAAATCAAAGTATCAAAGTTTTCACTATAGTTATCTATAGTAAACTATAGTTAACTGTAGTAAATTTTTGTGAGGGATAGACAGATGGATAGATAGATAGTTAGATTGATAGATGTACCTTTAACCTGTGAACAATACAGCTTAAACGCAACCATTTCAATATCCGTGTTGTTGTTACACTCGAAAGGCTCAATATTAAAATTATACTTCACTCCTTCAACAGTAAAGATCACATCTACGTGCCTGAGAAATAAGGAAGAGTTGAAGTGTGCCTTTTCCAATGTTGCTAAAACTAAGCAGTTTTCTGTAGAATTCGATCCTTCTTCTAAATAGAAAATCGAATCAAAAGAAATGTTTTGTCGAAACCAAATTGTTTGTGCATGCATAGAATTGATATAAAGTTGATAAAAATACAATACCTTTTATAAGTGATGGAAGCTTTTGTCGTGTAAAATTGCAACAGCGGTTGTTTGTTATGAACTCAACAACATCATCGTACTGCACATTTCTTCAATAAAACATAATCTAATCATTTCATGTTGCTAACAATTAGAATTTTACTTTTATTTACTTAAAATATTTCTTATTCGTATTCCTCATAGGATTTGGCGTTTCTAAGGATCCTTGTTTAAGCCCTGTTCTCCATATATTTATTTCTTAGATCAATGTTCGTTTTCTTCAGTTTTTTCTTTACATTATTAATCATCGAAATGAAATGAAGATTTGAAAAAAAAATGTTTATCGAGACATGGCCTGGGATCAAAATGACTTGATCTGCTAAATAGCTACAAAAATGAATACATCCCATTCAAAGTTTTGGAACCACGCACTATTTCACTTTGTCATACGTATTGAGTTTGATCTTTAATACGAGATCTTGGTTCAAAACCAGATACATCTTAAGCAACAAAATATTGATGTGTGAGTCCATTTCATTCAAATATTTCTCCATGAAGACCCGTGCATGGTTTTTGACAGATAGTGGAGAATTAGGAAGACAGACAATGATTTAAATAAACAGTTTGTCTTTGCTAGGATAAGGAGACATAATTAATGTATTTCAACGAAATGGAAAACGCGTACATATGACTTACTCCAAGAAATAAGTAGACATTTGAGTGGATATGAAAGGTAGACATCCAATTATGTAGACAAAGGTACCTACAAAAAAAGGGGGAAAAAATAAATGCGAGGTATAGATGAATATTTATTAATATACCTACTCTCTAGTAACAAAAGTAGATAAAATTCAATGCAGGCACGTGGAAACATTAAAAAAATTCACATCTTTAGATCCATCACCGATAGTTATCCTTACCTTTTTATCTTTTTACTATGTAGTATTTCCTTAACCTAATCAATACAAAGATATCGCTGCAATTCAACAGGGGTTGTTTTTCCCCTTAGGTGTGTGTATTTTTGTTTTGTTCATTCTCATTGTTTATAAATTAAGCATCGTCCGTATCTTCATTTTTTTCATTCATACCTCATCGCGAAAAAGGGTAAAAATCTGAGATTAAATTGTTAAGTTTTGTTATTATACTACATTTGACAATGGAATACTGTGCACAGGGAAATTTTCGCCCCCGCTTTTTTTTCCTCCCCTTTCACCCTCGTTGCAATTGGGCGAATTTAAAACGGGGTGAATTCAAAGAAAACAGCATTATTTCTTAAAAAGAACTGTCTGGGCGAATTTAAAACGGTGCGAAATCGTTTACAGGTGTAAAAGGGCGAAAATAAGACAGGGCGAAAATAACCTTGCATACAGTAATCTACCAAAGATAGGGCTGGCGGGGTTGTTATTAATCGACAGGGGATGCTTGCTCCTTCTGGGCACCTGGAATTTCCAGGGGTTCTTATTTTTTGCGCTGATCACAGACTGTACTGTTTGTATAGGTTATTTTAGATTGATCACTGTTCGTTATCTTGACTTTTTTGAT